GCGCTGCAGTTGGCGGCGCTGCAGCAGAAGGAAGCACTGGAGAGTCTCCTCAGGTGGAAAGCACAGCAGCAGCAGCAGATGCAGCAGCAGCAGCAGCAGCAGCAGCAGCAGCAACAGCAGCAGCAGCAGCAGCAGACAGAGGAGAGAGTTTAAATAGAAGCAAAACCCCCATTGCTTTGAGGCCTCTTCGTCAGCGCATGCAAACACAAAAAGAAATAAAACAAAAAACTAACACAGCAACGTCTAGACACCGTAAGATATATCCAAAGGGTTTAGGGTTTAGGGTTTAGAGGGTTTAGGGTTTAGGGTTTATACGGTTTAGGGTTTAGGGTTTAGAGGGTTTAGGGTTTAGAGGGTTTAGGGTTTAGAGGGTTTAGGGTTTAGAGGGTTTAGGGTTTAGGGTTTAGGGTTTAGAGCGTTTAGGGTTTAGGGTTTAGAGGGTTTAGGGTTTAGAGGGTTTAGGGTTTAGGGTTTATGTCGTTGTGTACAGTCCGCCGTCTGTACGTTTCCCTTCCGTCTGCTGCTGCTACTCATTTGGGCCCCCACAGCTCAGACCCTGCAGCAGCAGCAGCAGCAGCAGCAGCAACACCAGCAGCAGCAGCAGCAGCAGCAGAAGCAGCAGCAGCAGAAGCAGCAGCAGCTTCGTTTTGTCTGCTGCCTGTTATTTCTGCTGAGGCCCCTCCCCCAGAAGATTTAGTTTTCTGCATACCGCAGCAAACAGCAGCAGCAGCAGCAGCAGGAGCAGCAGCAGGAGCAGCAGCAGCAGCAGCAGAAGCAGCCGAAGCAGCAGCAGAAACAGCAGCAGCAGCTACAGCTTCCCCTACAGCAACAGCAGCGGCAGACGCAGCCGCAGCAGCAGCAGCAGAAGCACCAGCAGCAGCAGCAGCAGCAGCAGCAACAGCAGCAGCAGCAGCAAAAACAACAACTGTACGCGTGCGTTGCTATCCTTTGGGTTTGGTGGGAATGTCTGCTGCTGTGTATCTGCTGGAGCTGCTGCTGCCGGTGTTTGCTGCTGCTGTTGCTGCTGTTAAGCCGCTGTGCATTGCTTGGATGCCTCGAGCAGACAGCAGCAGCAGCAGCAGCAGCAGCAGCAGCAGCAACAGCAGCAGCAGCAGCAGCAGCAACAGCAGCA